TGATTAATCACGACAAAACTCAGGGACCCAGTAATAATGTTCCTTGGGACTGTGTAGGTGTATTTTGTAATGCTGAATCTATTCAGGAGTCAAGGAAAAATAGTCTAACTCCTGACTTGATTCTTTGATTCTAGAGAGAACATGGGCCTTTCCTGAATATCCTATTTGATCTTTTATATCATTTAACCCAAAAAGTAGCATCCTTTGAATTGGGCCCAAACAGGATATGTTATAAATTGTCCTAAATGCTGGGCCACCCTTTACCTTTGTGACCTTACAACTCTAACAACTTTGTGATACAATTCTCTGTGATTAATGATTTTGCCATTTGTAGACTCTGACAGTGGGAGGCAAACTCAACCCAGAAACCCCCTGTGGGGTTTTAAACTCATCACTCCTTTACATAGATGACAAATACAGTCCTTTTGAAGATCAACTATTAGTTTGTTACTGAACTTTATTTAAAACTTGATATTATTCCCATGCAAACCTTATAACTATATATTGGAATAAGTTTCATTTACAGTGGGACAACAACATGGGAAGGGCCCAATGAGCTTAGATTTTTCAAAGATAAATGACAAATATTCAAGTGTAGCTGGTCTGTTCTCAGTGACATCCACCTCAAAAGAAAATATGGCAGCAAACCCTTTGGAGGCAATTTTATCACCTATTCTAGTGCTCCAAACAAATCCACTGGCTCAGTGGAACACTTGATTCATCAAATTGCTACTACCTGTCTGGGCCTGTTCACTGTAGAGGTAGTTGACCTGAAACCCAATGGTGTCCACTGGCTGCTTCAGCCTCATATATACATAACTAAAAACTGACAAGATTGTTCTGTTCAGTGGGTAGACCTCCAAGGCATTTTCTTAAATTTAGATAATACTTCTCTTAATAAACTTCATATGTTTACCATTTCTTGAGCTATTAAAAATGACCTATTTTGTCTGCCACTTGAAAAACTTCAGACTGGCATATTCAAGTCAACCTTTTTTGCAGACACAGACTCCAGAAATAAATCTTTGCTTCTGATCACATCATATATGTTACTCGGAGCTAACCACAGTAAGGATCTATCTTACAAAAAGATCAAATAGAATCAATTTGCTGAGAAAGTCTGCACAAGACAGACTGCCACAAATGCTGTGTAGGTCGTCATCTCACCCTTTTATGGGTCTAATGCATTTGTCATTATATATTGGGCAAAAAGCGAAAGGACTCTATTTTTTTTTTTTTTTTGATAGAGGGCACCACAGCTTACCAGACTTGAGAATCCAAAATTTGATCAGTTTTTTTCTTGGGTAATTGATTGTATCATACCTTTGACCACTTTTTGAACTACTGGTTGTGCTTCGCCACTTATCAGTTAACTCTAACCTTATTATTTTTGCCCTTGAAACAAAACTATATAAAGTTTATTTCAATAGCAATCCTATACTGCCTGGGTACAACCTCTACAGATAGCCCTAGTTCAAAGGGAGCCTAGAATTTTTTAATATAATTATGATTAACCACCACCTGTATATTGTCTTGTTGAATTTTTATGATTCTAGATCAAAAAGATAATGACAAATTATAGAGTATATTGCTTAAGCAGCCTCCCTATTATGGCCCACATGAACAAAAGTGGGGCACACATTAGGTCTCCAAAGTTTTTTTAAAATGCCTTTGTCCTTCTTGAACCTGAATGTTCTGGAAGTTAAATTTAGGTGTCAGTGGAGGATGAGCAGAAATAAGGTGAATCTGTAACAACAGAAATGGGATGGTGGCAGTGGATGGAGATAACAATACAGTCTGATAATGGGGCACTTGGAAGGAGATGCCTTAGACACTGAAAAGGATGAGGAAGGAGTGACACTAGCAATAATCTGGTTTTCAGAGCCATCTTGTCACTGTGCTACAAAGAAAAATGCCCATATGTGGCTCTCTCAAATTGTTGCAAAGAGCTTTAATTTAACTGATTTCTGGATCTGCCATACCCACCATATGCTCTAATCACAATTTGACTGCCATTATTTGTAAAAAAGCTTATTAATAAATCTATTAGATGTAGCAGGGGATGGCCCCAGCTTCTGCTCCAGAATAACATCAATCAACACCTCCAATCCCATAGCCTTCACTCAGTCATCACATGGATCGACAAATGTGATACCCCATTTGTAGTATGGACATGCAGGAAAAGTTGAACTGACTATCCTTAGGCAGTCTCCTGATTGATAATATACACACTTATTTGGGATGAACTGAAAACCCTAAAGTTTATTATTCAGCAAGTTTATATTTCAAGCACTGCCAACCTATGATGCTGGACTGATTTAAGTTCCACTTAGGGTCCCCAACATTTATAAATACAACTTTCCTTCCAGAGGCAGCATACACACCTCCAGGATTGTACTTCTTATGTGGAAAACAGGCATTACCTTATTTTAGCGTAAAAATATAGTGGCTTGTACCTTAGAAATAGTCATATCGAATTTTCATCTTTAGAGAAACATCCACAATAAATCATGTAACCCCTAGATAATTGTAAGAATCTTTCAAAAATGAGTGAATAATACTACTTACACTCATTGAATGGGTAGTTGTTCAATTAGAAAAGGGGTATGAAATTCATCCCTAACTTTGGCAAAAATAATCAATTATATCACCTCATCCATTGAAGGCATTTAGGGCAACATTAACTCATTCTCCATATGTTGTTATGGACAATATAATTACCTTATACCTCCTCCTTGATGACTTGAAACAAAAATCTGTGCAGTCATTAATATAAACTGTTGTACCTGCACTGATATACTTGAATTGTCTTGTTGGATTGCTATGATTCCAGATCAAGAGGATAATTACCACTTAGTTGAGTAAGCTGCTCACTGAATCCCCTGACAGGGCCCATGTAGACATGGGAAGCATACTGGGTCTCTTAGTTTTTGAAACTTCCATCTTTCTTCCACCTGAATCTTTTTAATATTTTTTTAGTTATAAATGGACATAACACCTTTATTTATTTATTTTTATGTGGTGTTGAGGATCAAACCCAGGGCCTCGAACGCTATAGGAAAGTGCTCTACAGATGAGTCAAAATCCCAGCCCCTTCCATCTAAATCTTATGGTGGAAACAACTTGGTGACAGTGGAAAGGTTTCAGGCTAAGTAGAAAGGTCAACCCAAGAGTAGAAAGGTCAACTCTTCTTTCAAGGAGAAAGCCACCTAGCTTTCTAACCTGGACCCTAAAGGTTTATGGCATTTGTTCAGCTAATCAGGTCTGGGACCCTGTGGGTATGAACAAGGTTAATAATTCAAGTTGGCTTCTTCTTGCTTCATGATGTCCCATTGATATTAGCTTTATTTAAAAGTTGTTTGAAGCAAATTGACCAGATTTGGCCTCCATCAGTCATGCTAATCAGAATACGTGGAGTTTCCATACTAAAGGGAATATTCATCAGAAGCCAAGATAGTAGATAAATGAGGTTTGTATTTTGTTAGGAGATAATTCTCCATGGTTTCTTCCATTTCTGCACATCTCATGAGCAAGACACTGGTTTCCTTTTGTTTTAGACTGTATTTTAAGACTCTTTGTATTAAAAAAAAAGTCTTAGAAGATATAAATATTGTCTCCTTTAAGAGTAAAGGGCAGGCTCACTACCTATCTAAGTAAAGTAAAGGTAATAGCCCCCATTGAGACAAAGGATGGGCATACTTACTTACTACCCTTTCTGAAAATTCAGATTTCCAAAGCTTTGGGTTTCTTTCTTGTAATTGAACCAAGTATTATCATTTCCTCTGCAAACAGCCTTGTGGGAACTGGCACTTTGTAAACTGATATCTCTGTCTAGTATCTCTCTGTGAGTACTAAACTGTCTTTTGTCTCTACCTAGGAGTCTTGTGACTTCTTAAGTATTCATGAAAGTCACTTGCTAGTTTACAAATATGGTAAAATTTTCAGTTCTTGGCAATCACTATGTATTTATTATTCCATAGCAATAGTACCTTCCCTAAACTCCCATATAAAAAATTAAAATTAAATAACCATTTGTAGAAAGGGAAAATGGTTTATTTATTATATTGTTAGATAATCCCCTATGTTTGTGTGCCTAAATTAGAATAATAAAAAGAAGATAGTTACTCTAAATGCTCTATAAATGTAATCTTATATGTTTTGTCTATCTTCCTGAAAAATCATTTAAAATTTATTTGCTTTCTTCTGGTTCATTCTAATTTTTAATCTTGAGTGGGTAAATTGGCCATTTATATCTCTTAAGTCAAGGGTGAAAAATGCCAATAAAATGTGTTTTCACATAATATTCAAGGTTTCACATTATGTTTAGATACAATAGTCATTCCAAATCAGAAAAACATGATGGTATCCTAAACACTTCAACAGTTTATGTAACTTCTGTTTTCTCCATGTAAGTTAACTTTGTTATAAAATAAACACAAAAATAAAAGTATGGACACAGATGAGATCTTTTATTAACCTAACCTTTTGTTTTTTTAAAATTATAAAATAACACATTATCTTTGTGAAAATTCAAATATTACAAAAAGGTACTACTTCAAAGACTATGTACTCTCATTATTTCCCTAATCTCAAAAAGCAGCTACTGTTATTATGTTTATTATGTGAATACTAACATAAATATGATAGTTTACTTGTTGTTTTTACTTTATCCTGGATCTACTATCAGAAAACATAGACATCTCAATTTTTAACAGCCATAGAGCCATAAAATATTCCATTACTTTGATATATAAAAATTTCTCATCTAACTCCTTATTGATGGTACATAAAGTTGATTCTACTTTGTTGACTAGTTAAAAACAGTCCTGCAGTGAATATTTTTGTATTTACATCATGTACTTCTAAGAGTGTTTCCGTTAGATACACATCCACTGAGAGATAAACATGATGAATGGCAGAACTTTGCTTGAATGCTATTAGACTAATACGGCCCCAATTTATAAATGCTCAGTAATTCCAGTCTAAAATTCTACTCTCACCTTTGTTGCCAAAGATTTGAGTTTTCCCAGTAGAGACTGTTTATTTGAATATACAACTTCCTCTTCATTATCTTCTCCTTCCATTATAGCACAACTGTCTGCAGCTGGGAGTTCACACTCTTTTGAGTTAGTTGTCATTACCAATTTGGAATATTTGTACTCCAGTCTAAGTGGTAGTAAATAAAACAAGCAAATAAATAAATAAAGTAGCCATTTACATCAATAATAAATTAATACTGTATGTGGTTATATAGCAGCTCATTAAATTGTCTTCTTGTACTATCAACAAATTTTCCTCACCTAAAGTCATGGCTTTACGTGTTCTCTTTTATCAACCATGTACATAAAAAATACTTCACAGAATGTCAGAGAATCAGTTCAACACAGTTAATTCTATCACTTACTTTAAATTGACTGAAGTGTCTGGTTATGAATAACATTTGAAAAACAAAGAAAAATCTTGAGGTCTGAATACATTTCCTTAATTTATTAATATGCTCATGACAATTCACTATCACGTTTTCCAAAGTTTAGTTCATAAGGATGAAAATATCAAACAGGCAAATGAGTTGATATTTACCGTCTCCCTGTATCATTCACACCTTTATGCTTAACTTAGCACCTCAGATATTAAGGTTGACCCTAGATGTTAGAATACAGATTTTTCTATAGCCCCACTGAGATGTAAATCATTGAAAAAGATTCAAGTTGTATAACAGATCAATATGCATTCAGGGGTTAGAATCAATATTCAATCCCAGACTCTTGGAGACGTGGGGTAAATAAATGTGATATTTGCCTAAATACTTAGTAAGTTTCTTTGCAAATATCCTCCCATAAGAAATTTTAAAAGTGCAGCAAGAAGACAGCATGATGTCATAAAACAAAACAAAAAAAAAAAAACAGACTCAGAGGGAAATTCTGCCTTCAAATCTCAGCTCTGTTACAGTCACCTGGATAACTTGAAGCCTCCATTTTTCTGTTTCTTTTTAATAAGAGACTCTAATTCAATGAACTTTAATGTTCTATGATATTTCTACTGTCAGAGTAGAAATAACCACTTCACTAGAAGAAACATATCTCTGAGATAATGTACAAGATTTAATGATTAGGTCTAAAAATTTCACAACACAAACAGACCCTAGAGTTCTTACATGATGATGCAATGAGGATACTTACTTTTGATTCTTCTTCCAGAAGTAGCATGTTAGAGCCACCAGCAAAACGGCTGTGAAAGCTCCCACGCCTGCTCCTACTTTTAGCCAAAAGTCAACTGTTTCACAGGTTGACAGCTTTTTCTCAGGCAAAGAAATTCCTTTAATGCACCATTTAGGTTCATTCCAGACATATAAGGTTTCCTTTTAAAATAAGTAAATTGAAACAGAGATGAGAGAAGAAATAAGATTCAGATTCAGTTCTGAAAGCTAGATGGGTTATTGGGTCAATTCTCATGTAGAAGAATTTATTAATCCTTCATTCATATTAAACTTAGCTCCAGAGAAGGAAGAGATAAAGAAGAAAGTGAATAAAATAACAAAAGCAAATGTAAAAACTAAATAAAGACATGAATTGTCACATCAGAAGGGTGTACTACATGTTGAAAATGAATTCATCTAGACACATCTTTAGGCCATTTTCCTCAAATTTCAATAACACTGACATATTAATTTTGCTTTTAAATGAAAACTTTAGTCATCTAATATAATTAATTAGATGAGATTTTACTTTCCCACCACTTAGGCCCATAAGTCCAACAAGTCTCTCCCTTAAACAGAAGAGAGCCCAGGCCCAGGGCATGTATTTGCACCATGGCTGGCAGACTTGGTAGATGGTATGACAATAGACACACAGACTACACCCTTCTGCTGTGTGCCAAAATAAGAAGAGCATTACTCTGGGTCACCCCTTCCCACACCTGGTACTCTTGACCTCCCAAAGTAGGTGACTTAATTCCTTTAGAACAATGTTTCCCATACAGCAAGTTACACCTAGCCACTGAATAATAAAAGCAATATACTAGATCTCAACCAGGAACTTTTGAAATAAGTAGACCAAATAAGGCATATCAAAAATGAAAATCAAAGTGCAGGGCATGGTTGCTTATATATTTCAACATGTACCACTGACCAGTAGCAATTTGTATGATTATATTCAATGACATTAAATGACACAGGACATTATTGTGCATCCTTAAATTGTATGGCACATGATGATTACTTTATCCACACTTTAATGTAAGAATGACACCATAATTTTTACTTTTATGTCTTATGTGGATAAGCATATTTTTGCAGTAAGCCATGAAGTGATATGCAGAAGAATCTTTTTTACTTCAAGGAAAAGTTTCAATAAAGGTTTGAATAAGAACTTTCTGCCTGTGTTTTAGAATATTAGTGATTGAGGTTTTTTTTTTTTAATAGATGATACCTGTGATATTTTCATTAAGCATAGAACAAATAAATTATTTTTTAAATAGGTTACATTTTTATAAGAATGATGAAGTGAAATGCAGAGGTATATTCAAATCTTGCTGCTGCATCTCTAAATGTAAATCAAGACAATACAGAGAAAACTGTAAACTCTAGGGAGCAAACACTGACTACATTTGAAGTGCATTCTACCAAGAAAAAAAGATTGTGCCAGAGTTTATATGGTTTTATAAAATGTATAACATTCAATGAAAATGGCAAGCTCTAATGTCTAGTGGCAGACTTATACATCTTAAAGCTTCAAAATTAAAGACACTTGTAAAACCAGTGCTTAACATCTTAATCAACTCATTAAATACAAAGAAAAAAAAACTCGAGCAATTGACAAAATGTTTTAGTCATTCTGTAACTATTAATTAGAAACTTTGTCCCTTTATCCAATCACATAGCATTGGAAACAAAAACAGCTGACACTGCAGCCAAAAGATTTATTCTTCCAACATGTAGGGATATACTTTGAACAGGATTAAGATAAATTTGATGATAAATCTAAAAATATTTCTCTCAGAGCTAACATGGTATCACTCAAATCTTTACTACTGCATGACTTTAGCTGCAACGCTTAATACACACTTAGAACCTGGGATAGATTTTTGAGATCCAATTTGATAAGAGCACTCTTATCACAAGCTGTACAGCTCTTTTTGTTCATATCAGCTATACAGGCAGGACTTAGATTGCATAAATTTAACTTTATTTTCATCTGCATTTGATATAGTTGTAAAACTGGGGAAGTGCATAAAGTGGTCAGCATAAAGTAAAAAATTATAAAAGACAGAACTGAAATAGTAAGATGATTAAAACTTAAAAGATACTCACTGTAATATTTTTCAGTAACTGTTATTTTTTTAATCATGAAGCTGGAACATCCAAAGAAATCCATTCCTATCATTGGCATAATGGAGAACTCAGCAATAAGTTGTAATTTGTCAATGATATCTATAGATTGGTTTGGTCCTTACCTGAAATCCTCTTTTGCAGGCTCCCTCAATCTCATGGAAGTCATGCTCGGTGCACAGAGGGCAAGCTTCAGCACTCTCCCACAGGAAATAGAATGCACATCCATCACAGGTGCCTGCTGGGCACTTGCTGAAATAAAAAATCGAAAATGCATTCCATGCATTTCAATCAACATTTGAGTGCCTACTGCATACTGGGGAGCACAATGTGAATGCTAAGGAAACACATATGAGGAAAAAAACTAAAGGAGCTGAAAACCACAATGAGATAACTCTTGGCACCTATTAGGATGGCTAAAATAAAAAAGATTATAGTAACTGTCATGAGAATGTGGAGAAACTTGAACCTTTATACACTGCTGATGGGAATATCCAATGGCAAAATTGTCAGGAAGAGTCTGGAAATGCCTCAAACAATTAAACACAGAGTGGTCATATGATCCAGCAAGTCTACTCCTAAGTATCTACCCAAGAAAAATGAAAGCATATGTCCATACAAACACTTCTACATGACTATTCAGAGTAGCATTGCTCATTATGACCAAGAGGTGGGAAATACCCAAATCTTCATCATCAGACACATGGATTAAAAAAATGTAATGTCAGCACTTGGAGTATCATTTAGGCATAAAGAGAAGCTCAGTACTGACACATGCTACAACTTGACAGACGTTGAAAATATTGTGCTCAGTGAAAAAAAAAAAGTCACAAAATTCCACATGTTATATAATTCTATTCATATGAAAGACCAGGATAGGGGAATCTTTAAAGATGGAAAGTAGACAGGTGGTTGCTTGGGACTTGGAAGAGGACTAAGGTACAGGAAGGTGAGACCAAAATAAGGTTAAGAGTTTCATTCTAAGGTAATGAAAATGTTCTAACATATGCTTCTACATGACACCACACTGTGAAAAAAAAAAAAACAAACATAAAAACCCCTGAGTTATATGCTTTCAATGGGTATATTGTATGGTATGTGAATTCTCTCTCTCTAAAAATCCATTTTTCAAAAAAATTTACAGAATGACACAGATAATGACAGAAAGAGCTCTGGTAAGGTTCTTGGTAGAAGTGATGTCTAAGCTAAGTCTAGAATATTCAGTAGGAGACAACCTGATGAGAAGGGGAGAAAGCAAAGGAATTCCTCCCAAGGGAATGGAATGATATGATGAACCGGTAGGAAATTACATCTGGATTATTGTTGCTGGAGCTTCCACAGCAAGGTGGTGAGCATGTGCTGGACACGTAGTCAGGAACTAAGTGGTGAAAAGCCTCAGGTGTTAAAGAGGTTGCAGTTTCTATTGAAGGTAACCTGCTTAAGGGAGTGCTTTAAGAAAAAAAATGGCACTCAGGACCATGGTCTTTTAGAGAGTAGGCGAAAATATGATCACAGAAATGTCTAGAGTGAACCAACCAACCAACCATCAGGTCAACATGCAGCCCAGTGAGGCAAATGATTTTGCAGTCCCTGACTTCCTTGACCTAAGGGTTACCTTCACCACTGGAGATGATGGCTCAGGCTTAGACACAGGAGCAGGATGGCACTGAGCCAACCCCCTAGGATGGCCTGAATGGAGACTTTTTGAAATACTGCACTCTGGTAGGCAGGTCCATTATATCAATCTGCCTCTTTGATTTTAGGAAGATAAACAGAAAGGTTTAAAATCAACCACCTGTATGTGTATAGAATCATTACTGATAGAAGCTATTTGGAAAGATTCTAGAAAGAATAGATATTTTGTTCATGAATTCATTAAAACTAAGAGAATATTATTAGTTTGTCTACCATGCTTCCAGCTCCCTTAAATCAAGTCTTGTAAATGCAGGCCTTCCCTGAACCTTTAGGGCTTGACTGGTGTTGAATATGGGTCTCCTAAAACGCCAAATAACAACAAAAAAAGATGGATATAAAAAAATGAGAATGTTACATAATACATCTTTTTTGAGTTTTAATTGCAAATGTCTTTTTAACCATTAAAAAGATACATAGTCCAAAGCCAGGCACATTGGTGCACTCCTGTAATCCAGTGGCTTTGGAGGCTGAGGCAGGAGGATAGCAAGTTCAAAGCCAGCCTCAGCAACTTAGCTAGGACTTAAGCAACATAGCAAGACCTTGTCTCTAAATATCATGTAAAAAGGGCTGGGGATGTTGCTCAGTGTTTAAGTGTCTCCGGATTCAATCTCTGGTACAAAAAAAAAAAAAAAAAAAAGATACCTAATCCAAAATTTCTTGTCTATCAGCAAAGTAAAATTTCATACTGTTATTTAATTAAAAATATTCTAAGACACTCTGGAATTGTGAATATTAAAAAAAAAAAAAATCTATCCGGGCTCATGTTTGGTAATCCCAGTGACTCGGAAGAACTGAAGCAGTAAGATTCCCAAGTTCAATGTCAGCCTCAGCAACTTAGCAAGGCTCTAAGCAACTCAGTGAGACCATGAAATAAAAAATTAAAAAGGACTGAGGATGTGGCTTAGTGGTTAACCACCTCTGAGTTCAGTTTCTTGTACCAAAATTTTTTTTTAATTTTTTAAAGAATTGATGTGTCTAAAACTTCACCATATTTCACATGCTATTTTTCCAAATGTCTGTGTGCTTTAGACTAAGTAGACACAGGCAGAAGGTAACTAAAGGCAACATTTCCTATAGCATCTTATAACAGAGGCCCAGGGTTTTGCCAACATAAGAACAATGGCAAACAGTGATTCTTTAGAAAAATGGCTTAAATCTTATATGTCTTAATTTATCTATTTGTAAAAAGGGAGCAATTAATATATTCTAACTGAGAACCAAAGAGAGGTTTAAAAAAGAGAAGTAAAAATGAAAGATGAAAACCATGCTACATAAAATATTATCCCTACTTTCCACTTTTTTTAAGAGTAGTAAAAGACTCAACACTGTTCTTTTTAAAAACTATATAGCCAGTTAGAAAAAACTCTTCAAGAATAAAATTATTAATTTCATAACAATTATTTACAACATTAAAAGTAATATACTTTCTGTTCATGTAGCAAAAAGTACCAATAGGCCCTTCAACTCAAATATCTCCTCACATATTTTTTTCTACTTTATCTTCCCAACAGAGAAATTTTAAGGGAAAAGAAAATAAATTATTTCACTTGAGAAAACAGAAGGGTAAGTCTATTTAAGTTTGAGAAAAAAGAATTTAGATGAGAGCAAAAAGGAAAAAATAATCAAGTTGCAAAACCTCTGGAAAAAAGACTCAGTTTACAATTCTAACTGGACTTTAAAATGAAAGCATATTTTCCCTCAAATGATTCAACTCCTCCTTTTCTCTGTCTTACTTTTGTAATTTGTTAAAATCAAATATGTGCTATGCTAACTTTACAGCATAGGTTTTTGATGTTGCTGTTTTTCTTGTTTTGTTTTGTTTTGTACCAGGCATAGAACCCAGAGGCACTCAACCACTGAACCACATCCCCAGCCCTTCTTATTTTATATTTATATTTTGAAACAGGGTCTCACTAAGTTGCTTAAGGCCTTGCTAAGTTGTTGAGACTTGCTGAACGTGTGATCCTCCTGCTTCAGTCTCCTAAGCAGCTGGGATTACAGGTGTGCACCACCATGACAACCTATAACATAGTTCTAATAAAATGAAAGAAAAATTTTAAAGCACTGGAAAAATTTAAGACTGTTACCAAGGCACATTACTTTCTGAAAAACTTATAGTTGCTACAGAAACTAAAAAAAAAAAAATCAAGACACTGATGTAATTTATAAGACTGTCATTAAATGTCAAAACGCTACAATGCCTATCCTTGGTAGACTTCACTTTTTAAAAGATACTCTTAGGCTAAAAGGAGTTTAGTTCAGAATCAATTACTTAGTGCTTTTAACTCAATAAATTATTTAAAATGTGAAACATCCAAATTTGATCCTTTGTTACAAACCTAAAATGCAGTTTAAATCAATGACAAGGATATATGAAGCAATAATAATTTCAACAGTGCTTATTTATAGAATGAAAACAGAAGAAAGTACAAGAGAAAAACAACAACAAAAAAAAATACTTCTACCAAGAAAACAAAAAAGCAAGTAGCAAAATAGATAAGTGCATTATTGTCAAACATTTGAAACTCATTTTTTCCCTTTATTACCTATGCCACTACCATCTCCCTGACCTCCCCTAACTTTTAAAAGTAGGAATGCAGAGTTGTCATGAATATGCTTCTTTGATAATCTTTGGGCTACTCAAACAGCACAGAAACCAGGAAGGAAATGTCTAAAGAGACAATACGTGGTCATGGGTGGCTGGGGCATGTGAGGCCAGGGTTCTGCAGGATGACTACATGTGCTATGAATTCTGGGGAGAGAAAAGACTGATTCAAAGTATGACCAGGTCAGCCAAGAATAGATTTCCCAGTTTTCTTACTTAACCCTGATATTACCTTGTGAATTGGGGTGGCACTGATAATGTATAGGGATTAGGTGAATCTTTGTTTACAAAGGTAGAATTTAGATTCTAAAGTGGGATACATTTCTTGGGGGAATAACTAGAGGGAGAAATTGGCAATTGGTTTCATCTTTTAAATAAATCATCTTACTTAAAGAAGAATATATTTGGTTATGAATTCAGGGAGAAGAATCTTTTTATGATCTAATAATACTCTATTATTAATTGTTTGATGGTTTATAAGTGAATGTAAATTTGTTTTGCCAAAATTCTACTCAGAACCCAGAGTTTTAAAAAAATGTAGTTACCTTGCCAATATTTTTCTGATGATCTGAAAATTACTCTTGGGAGACAGTGGAAAGTTGACAGTCTTGTGCTCCTGGAACATTTGTCATCTGGTGTCAGGGCACTACCATTGCTGAGCATCTTTCACAGGGAGTTTTTGTGGGTTTGTTGGCATCCCCCAAAGCATAGGGGATGCTGTCTCTAACTTGCAGCTGGTAACTCCTCTCAGTTTTGGCATCTCACAAAACTTAGTTTTTCTCTACTAAGGATGTCTTGTTATTGACAGAAGGCCCCCTTGTGTGGAATCCATAAAACAACATCATATCTTACTTCAAATTTGTTTAGCTAAGGCTGGAAAAGTGTAAGTCACTCATGACTGTTTTAGTCTACTCAGGCTGCTATACTAAAATACACTAAACTGAATACATAA